GTCTCCTCTCGGCAGTGCGGAGCTCACCGCTGCCTGGTGGTTCGCCCGGGGCCGGCTGGGGGGCCGGGGAGGGCCCCGGCTCTGAAGCCAGACTGCCGGCTTCAGGCTCAGCTCCACGGCTCACTCAGTGCCCAGAGGACGGTGTCAAAATGCTGCATCCGGAGAGGCTCTGGGGTCCTTAGGGACACGGTTGATTTCAGGTGTGATGCAGAGCAGCGGCAAGACGAGCCTGGAACATCTCATTGCGCCCGATGATGGAGGCCGCGGAGCTAACGGGCACCAGAGCCAGCTTGCAGCTGCTCCCTGTGTTAAATAGCTACCTAACACCGTCTGTCTGGCCCCGGTCTGTCTGTCTGTCCCGTCTGTCGATCACTGTCTATCACCGGTCTGTCTGCCTGCCTGTCCATCTGTCTATCATCTGGCTTACCTATCGTCACCTATCATCTATCTGTCAACCTACCTGTCTGTCTACCACCTATCATCTGTCTGCCCACCCACCTGCCTACATATGTATATATCCATATGCATACATGTGTGTATATATTCACATATATCCAAATATTATTTTCCTCACAGCAAAAAATAAAAAGCCCTAATGTGCTTCCTTTGTGTCAGCTTCTTACTAAAAGTTGATAAATGAGGGAAAAGGCTTAGATACTTCTTTCCTTCCGGAACGACCTGCCTTCAGGGAAGGGGCCGGCCTGCTGAGAGCTAATACTCACAGCATAAGTGATGACATTAGCAATACGGTGTCCAGGCGGTGTCCCAGGCGGGGACCATGGCGGGCTGGGCGGGGCGGGGAGTGGACCCTGGGTGGGAGGCCTGGGGTATTTATGGTTATTCATTGCGCACAGGATAGTGAGGCTTTTCTGGGGGGTGAAGGAGGATCCCCCTGAAGCTGCTGCTACGTCACGGCCTCTCTAAGAGGGGGTGTGATCACCCCTGAGCAACTCGTCTAGGAAGCATTCTTGCCGCACACGGTGGAACAGAATGGAACTGGACATTCAGGCCCATCTCTGGCTAGGCGTGAGAGAAGGACCGCAGCCAGGGAATTGACAAGTCAGGAAGCAAGCAGACAGATCCAGACCCGGGGCGGGGTGAGGTGGGGTGGGGTGGGGGCCGGGAGGGGGCCAGTGACCCGAAAATGAGCCACAGCTCCTCAGCAAATCACTGTTTTCCTATAAACGAGACTTCAGAGGCATCACCCGGGCATACCCCGGGGTGGATGTGAATAGCCCAGCCGCTAAAGGGCATTTCTGGAACAATCAATGAAGTTGGAATATGACTTCGACAACGCATCATTATCCATCTAATTCAGTGTGACGGCAGATTTGTCCGCGGGACGACGTTATCTGGCGAGACTCACGCTGGTACCTTCCTGAGTAAGATGCACCGCGTCGGTGAGTTAGCTGAGATTTTTTAAGTATAGCAAATTTGGAAAAACTGAAATAATTGCTGAGTCGACATGATAGGCATGATGGGTCAGTGGCTCGCTGTCCGGCAGGAAGTGAGACTCCGTGAGACTCGGGGCCACACCGCCACTTGCCATCTCACCAACGGCCACGTGGTGGCAGTAGAGCCTCGACCTGCTGGGCTCGCACAGGTTTGGGAGGGGCACACAGAAGGGCAATCGCTCCCCTGTTCTCCAATGCTGCATTTCAGCTCGTCCTTGCATCTAGTGAGCAGCAGCCCAGGAAGAGGCCCTGAGCGAGGTGTGAGGGGACAGAGAGGCCAATCTCCCGCCTCTGCTCTCCTGGGACCACCTGGGCAAACTGCTGGCAGCGGCCTCTGTGTTGGGTCCAGTTTCTCTACATTTGCCATCACTGCATGGAGACCTTGACTGGCTTGTCAGAAACAAAGCAATTAATTAAAATTAATTAACAAATTAATGACTCAGGGGAGCTGCCCCTGGACCCTGGGCTGTCCTCCGTGCTTCAGATGTACTGCTGTGTGACGCTGGGAAAGTTAATCCACCTCTCTGAACCTGTGGGCTAGTACGCGCACCCAGCAGGCCGAGTAGGCGCTTTTCTGTTGGAAGAGCATGAGGTGGTCTCTAGTCTGCCCGAGGCTGGCTCCGCCGGTATCCAGCAGCAACGAGCGTCGATGCCTGCCATCCCCTTTTGGAGGCCCGGGAAGGATGCAGGCGGTTGTTGGGTTTGCACGAAGGCCCCCTCCCCCCACCCTGAGGTCCACTGGAAGTGACCGCTGAGGGCCGGAGCGCGGGATTCACTCTCCCTGCAGTGACGGTGCAGCCTGAGCCCGTGGTCTGCACTGAGCCCCGCGGTGGACGCACAGGGCCTCCTCGTGTCCACCGGGCAGGGGCCCCTCCCTCAGCGGTGGGGAAACGGAGGGTCAGGGCCCTTACAGAGCTCCCCTGAGGCCTCCCAGCGGGTAGGCGGGGAGGTCGGGATTCAGTCCTCCTTCATCTCTGCTCTGCTCCATGCTCTTTGGGGTGGGCGCTGCGGGAAGATAAAACATTCTCCTAGGAAGGGGGTGCCAGCCTGAAGGAGTCTGTTGGCCCGGGAAGGCTTGGCCAGGACAGCAAGGTCCAGCATTCGCCTTTCTCAGGAGCCCCTGGCGTGGCCGTTGGTAAGCTGCAGGGAGTTCTCTGCCTTCCTGCCGAGAAAGCCCTCCCTTGGGGGAGCCAGTCTTACTGTACTGTCACCACGTGGTCAGACAAGGCTGACCCCAACTTCAGGCTCAAATCGCTGGCA